CTAATCCCGTCAACTTACTGCTCTTCTCTGCATTCTGTCGCTTGCATGGATATTTTTGATCACTATGACTTCACATACTCCAGCTTTTCATGTAATAGGCACCCCGGATTCCCTTCCCCTTGAAAAGTCTACGTCTTGCTTCGCCACATGCTTTGCGGATCTTTTGATGCTTTCACAGTAGCTATTCCTAGCTGTCTGCATACAGAATTTCGCAACAGGACCATCCACAGGACCAAATCGTCTCAGGATACTTGTCAACCGTGGAGCCTCTCTCCTCCTTCCTTTTTTCTTCCTCCTTGTTTCTTTTCCTTGCTTCCTTCTCTCTTCCCTCTTCCTTTTCCTTCTCCCTTCAACTGCTGAGTCAGTGCTGCGACGAGAGAACACCTCTGAGCTCTCGCAGCGAGGGTATGTCCGGATACGATCTATGCTTTTGCTTTTCTCATCATTTCTGCTAGCTTCTACTATTTCAAAAGAGAGGCGATGAAGGAAACCTGGGACCCTTTCTCAAAGAGACTATACTTCCGGTCTATTTTGTGCATAACGGCACTAACAGCATCCATTTTCAGAAGGACGGTATTGATTCCGCACCACAGACTTCTTCAAAACCTGTAAGTTTATGGACACATGTTCTCAAGGGGATTAGAAATACGTATAAACTGTAAAGAATAAACCGTTGTACATTCAAGTGCATAAAATGAAGTGAGTTCAACTTAAGGTACCTTGCAAAACGTGCAACAGACAGATACCGCCTGGATCACCCTTCTACGAGGTCAATCATGCACCAAAATGCAAGGACTGCTGCATTGTGCGTTATTATTTTTATGAATCATCTCAAATAAGAAAGATTTGGTCTTCCCATATTTTTTTACATATATATTCGTTGCCCATCGTTGTAGTGCAAGATACATTGAGCTCAAAGACAAAGCGCAACCGTTTGTCGAACCATTGAGCGGAGGTGGGGCGCGATGCTGTTCGGCTAGAGGGCAAAAGGCACGATACTTTTTTACTGGGTCTAGAATGCCAGCGGGGGTGCCATGTAGTGGAGAAATGGCGAAAAAGCAAAGGGAAGCGGTTAAAAACCTCAAAAAGTCTTGTTTTTCACGACACAGAAAGTCGGACGAGTTTCCCATTGGCATCGTGCCAATAAGCGCTACGGTAGATACGGCTGCACGTATCACCCATATATCTATGCAGCATCGCAGCCGCTTCATATAATCCCTTCGCTTCATATTGTACTTCGCAAATGAAGCGATACGAGCATCAGCATCGGTCGGACATTTGTGGGCGGGCGGGTCGGTATGTTGCAGCTTGGTAGGGCGCTAAAGGGGTACCTTCCCTGGAGAAGGCGCTCTGTCCTTCTAAGCGCATTAATCCTACAATCTTGGGGATTTGCCTTTGAAGACAATGGATTCATTGAAGTGTGATGGCACAAGTGTTTTCGGCAAAAGATGATTCTTTTTCAGAGAGACGGCACTCGGCCTGTTCCACAGACTTGTACGAAACCAGTAAGTTCCTGTGTATGATCTCGTACCCATATCGCTTTTATATGCTTGAAACAAGGTAGTCATTAGATATTCTCAGTGATGAGATCATATTTTATTCTCTTGGAGAAGAATGGTAGCTGTTCCTGGGGGGAGAACCTGCAACCTTTGGGGATTTCGGCGAAACGGTGACGAGGTCTGAATGGTTCTGAGGCGACATAGACACCAACCTTCTCGATCGATGGGTTTGTGCAGGAAGTAACTTCCATCCTCTCCCCGCTCGTCTTCGCTCGATGGCTCTTTCTGAGACAAACTAGAATATTTCCTGGAGACCTGAATGAAAGGGGAAAGGGTTGGGAAAGCTTGGGAAGATGGTATGTAGGATGATCTTCGGATAATAACTTCCAGAGGGGAGGGGTCAGACAGCGACTTACACGCTTCTTCAATTCCCCTCTCTCACCACAAAAAAAATTCCGAATGTGAGACCCTTCCCAAAAAATATTTTGATTGATGTGGGGGAGGGGGCACAAGCATTGACCACAAAACTGTTTAATCATTGGCGCCAATATCATAGCAGGGATTAACACAGATGCTGTGTACAACGTTGAATCATATTCTTCCGAGTAAAAAAGGGGCAGTGCAGGTCCACTATAAGTCCGCAATCCAAGCAGTAGTGCTGATACAGCCTTGTTCGCTGGGGCGCTCCAGAGGGGCTTTTGGCGCAGCGCCAACCTCTTCTCCATCACTTGTGAAAGCTGCCGGGGTGGGAAAAGGCTGGCGCTACGCCAAACTTGCCCCCCCCCAAACGGCCCGTTGGCAGCTAATAAGACTGTATTATGCGTTCGCATATGCTACTACTTGTCATGACAAGTCTGATCACGTTCTACGACGTCTACGACGTAACCAAATTGAAGCCCTTTCACGCCTTTCATGTTGGACGGTATTTAGCACTGAGGAATCAATATTTTTTTGAGCCCAGGGGTGAGAAGATTTGTTCATGCAAGTGGGGTTTTCACACCTCGTTTAAAAGGTTCACTTTCTTCGAAGCTCCCCCTCCCACGTCGATGAATGAACCTATTATTAGGAGACGTCGTCTGTGCTGTCACATCATGTATTGAACTGCGGACTCATATAAGACTAGCGCCTTCGGAAAGTTAACTTTGGCGAAAATAACCTTAAACAGCAATTCTTTCAGGTTACATGCAGAAAATGCAGCAAAATTATACCGCCCGGGGAACAATTCTACGATGTTGATCACGCTCCGAAGTGCAAGGACTGCTGCATCGTATGTTACTGTCAATTTTTTGAATGTTTTTCGGTAATCTCCAAGTTCGTGAATGATAGTAGGGGTAGGGGTCAAAAGGGGGATAACCAACTGGGAGTCGATTTGTACGGTGGCTGTTTTCCTCCTCATATTGACTGCCAGAGGTCTGTATTCGCAGAACTCCGGGTATGTGAACAAGACAATCGTACATGGTGCTCGCTGGATACGCCCAGTATACTGGCGTCAGCAGACGAGTTGTCCTGCTGGCTGAATTTGGCAAAGGGACGTGAAAACTGCATAATCGCCTTTATTGTAATTCTTCTCCGCTGGATATTCAAACTTGTTTGCTGATTAACTGCGATTACGCGCGGACACATTAACCAGGGAAGTCCGCCAAATTACCATGGAACTTTGAATGGAAAATTTCACAAGCAATTTATGACCAGGTATAGTTTGTAATGGTGCAGTAGGTAGGCTGGGAAGAGCTGTGGTGCGTGAGCAGGAATTCGATAGCATAGATGCACGGCAGTCGATCGCGTCGTCCATCAAACTTGCCACTGAACACCATGACTCTTCGCCTATGCGATTCCCTCGCTTTATGCTCCCACCAGTTCACCAACAAGCCTCCACCCTACTGCACATTTACAAAACATGCTGCCCCATGCTCATAATCTTGTGAATTGCAGTTGGAGTTCCCATACCTTTATGGAATAACCTTAACAATGGGGTGGGGAGGGGGGGGGGCAAAAAAAAGTCACTTCGACCGAGTCACATATCAGCAAAGTTTTCGCAGCCCAGAGAGAAGACGTGGATACGAGTACCAGGGCGGAAGATACCCAAGATGTTCCTCGATAAGCAGGAGCTGGCTCTCGCCCATCACCTTCATGTACACCAAAATATGAAGTCATCTCCAGTCGCAGCCTGACTGGAGAAGACCTTTGGAATTCATGTCACCTCCAAACAGCTGCGAAACTTCTAGTGTGGAGTCACCCATGGGTAGCTACCTGGAGACCAGTACTCTCAATCTGGAAGACCTCCAACATCGAGCAGCTCCGACAACGTCGCTACGGTCTAGGACATCATCTTCACGGCAGTCGCCAAGGCGCGGGTTGATGGTATGGACCGGACGCACCTGGAATGGAAAGACCAGTATTTTCTTCGTGGACCCCGGGCTGAAGCTGAAGATATCTTCCCCACATGTCGTCGCCCGTACCTTCTTGGAAACTTTGTACTGCTACAGCATTTGGTGCCACCACGTGGAATCGAAGGGCGTTGGAGAAACTCTCGCCTACCTGGAATAGAAGGGGCTGGGTACCAAAGATGGAATGTCCAAGTAGGTCACCTGACCTGAATCCCCTCAATTACCCGGTTCGAGCGGAGTTCAATAGGGTGGTCTACGGTGGCGGAGAAATCGACCGGTGGTCTACGTGGCGAGAAATCGACTATCTCGCGACGCATGCACCACACGCGCTTCGCGTGGCAGAATCTCTCGATAGCGCTCGTCTAGAACGCTGTGGCGGAGTGTCACGATAGTATTTGATATGCTCTTTAATGTGAAGTGGAAATGTCCAATAAGAATTCAATAAAGTTTAACTTATAGCTAACTTATAGTTTAACTTATTTAACTCCATTCAAAGTTCCATGGTAGGTCAGCGGACTTCCCTGGTCAGCACTTGGCGCGAGTACCCTACACGCCGTACGCGACGACGCGGCATATACAATTTTTCGCCTCCTGAAAGCTCCCCCCCCCCTCTAACGATCACGGATACTCTGCTTCCTTGGAATAGATTTAGATCAGAAATAAACTTAGAAAAATAATGATTTCTCGTGGTTGGTTCTAAGAACAGAAACTGAGCAATGTTCGCAGGCTAAGATGCGATTCACCTTTGCTGTCTAATTTCTACCTATGTTCATAAGAGTGTTATGTGATGATATGTTATCCATTTTATCGCTTGTTGGCTGTGTAATGTTTTTGCTTTTTTGTGTATGTTGTGTTCCACTGACCCCCCCCCCACTACGAAGTTCAGTCTGCGGCCGTTGGAGTGGTATCAGCAAGGTTGGCGGACCTACTAAGTTGGTATCCGGAGTCCTAAATTTGCTGCCATGGACTTGCAGTGTTGGCGCCCACTGCCCTTCTGCGCTGATTTTCCTCTCAACTTCGCAGGACTTTTCAGTTTATGACCTTACTGTGTTTTACTTATCGGAGTTATGTTTGTGGTTTTCGCTTATAGCTGAGTTTTCTTTAAATAGTCTGCCGATAATAAATCGTAAATCTATTGTTTTCAGGCAGACGGTGCCAAGCCTTCTCCGAAAACTGCCTCGAAACCGGTAAGACTCTTACTATGTGTGCACGTGTATAGCCCATTTCACACTGATCATTTGGGCGGAGATAGACGTGCTATTGTGCTCATGGTGCCTTCTCACCGTCCTTCGAGATGGCTCTTGAGCGGTAATTGAGCTGTTTCCAAGAAGGAATGTGGACGTTTTAAAAATTGCTTGACTCCGCCGAAACGATCATCGTGGAATGCGAGCAGGGCGCCTCTACGTACTTTAGGCTTTGCTGCAGTCGCCACACTTAAGGCTCTGTCAGAGCAAATTTCCAGAAAAAATCTTGGAAAGTAAATTTCTTCCAGATTGCCTGTAAGAAGTGCAACAAGGAAATACCAGCTGGACAGCAGTTCTACGAAGTTGATCGCCAGCCAAAATGCAAGGACTGCTTCGATGTGAGTGTTTCTCGACTAAGAAACGTTCATTAGGGTGGGAGCCATCTGCAGGACTGACTCAAAACCCTCACTAGATGGTTTCGCATATGATTCTTACCGCCTGGTCAATGTTTCGAAGGTGTTTACCGCTGGTCGATGTTCTAAGTCTTCCTTTACAGGCTGACGCCTTCAAACCAACTCCAGTAACCTCATCAAAGCCGGTAACGTTATCTTTTACTTTTGCCGTGTATTCAGTCTTACCCAATAGCTTGTAGTCAAGATCTGAAGGTGATATGACCATTCCTCAAACTCAAAGCAAGAAGGCGTATCCCACACCTCTTTCACTGTAATCGATCCAGGCACGCTACTCATATGGGC